CTAGGGTGCAGCCCATCACAGCAAGGAGCTAGGGTGCAGCCCATCACGGCAAGGAGCTAGGGTGCAGCCCATCACGGCGAGGAGCTAGGGTGCAGCCTATCACGGTGAGGAACTAGAGTGCAGCCCATCACGGCAAAGAGCTAGGGTGCAGCCCATCACGGTGAGGAACTCAAGGTGGCAGGCGTTGGTCACCTCACCCACATAGTCCAAAAGCAGGGAACGCTGAGTGCTAGCACTCAGAGAGCTTTTTCTCCCTGTTATTCAGTCTGGGATCCAAGTCGAGGGAATAGTGCCGCTCACAGTGGACAGGTCTTCCCACTTCAATTGACCCTACCTGGACAATTCCTTACCCCTCACAGATGTGCCCAGAAACTGGTCTCCTAGGTGATTCCAGATGCTGTCCAGCTGGCATTATTAACTTTCACAATAGTGCAAGCCTGTCATCCTAGCTCTCAGGAGGGGGGCAGAAGGTCAGTTCAAGGTCAGCCTGGTGAGCCTGGAATAGATAAACAAACAACAGCCTCGACTTAACACTTCCTCTTCACTCCTGCTACCCAGTTAGAGAAATCCCTCCCTCAGAAACTTCCACAGCTCTGTTGGGTCATTGCAGATATCTGTGCATGTAGTAAGATGTAAAAAAAAAAAAAAAAAATTGGGTGCATATCTTTGCATCTGTGTGCAAACAGCAGAGGACATCCATGGGTGCTCTTTAGTTTGCTTTTCTACTTTATTATTGTTTAATTTGAATTTATTCTCTCCCTCCCCCCTCCCTCTCTCTCTCCGTGTGTGTGTGTGTGTGTGTGTGTGTGTGTGTGTGTGTGTGTGTGTGATGGGGAAGGAAGGCATGCCACAGTGAGAGTTTGGAGAAGACTACCGTTGTGGAGTTGGTCCTGTGGATCCTGGGGATAGAATTCAGGTCACCAGTCCTCCCACACCCTTACTTGTGTTTTGATTTTAAAAAATTAGATTTCTGAACAAATGGTAGTGTTACATGCACTCAGTATCTGCATTTTAGATAACCGGGAAAATAGCATGTTAATACTTGTATCATGTTGTATAATTAAGTAGGAATTGCTTCATTTAGCGTAGAAAGGGAGGCAATACTCCCCTCCACTAACAGATGAGCAAGGAAGTCGGGGTTAGAGGCTGGAGATGGCTCATTGGTTAAGAGCTGCTCTTTCAGGGCCCGAGTTTGATTCCCAGCACCCACATAGCAGCTCACAGGCGTCTGTAACTCCACTTCCAGAAGACCCTTTGTTATCTTCTGGCCTCCCTGGGCACCAGGCATGCACAGGGTGCACATATGTACATGTAGATACAGCATTCATTCACAGAAGATAAAGATGTAAAATATTTTTAAAAATCAAGCTTAATATCACCTAACTATTAAGTAGTATTATTTTGGGGCTACTAGATAAATTATAACCTTAGACTTGTTCATTTATACTATCATTTTAAGTGTTTCTAATTTTTTTTTTTTTTTGAGACAAGAAGTGCCCAGGTTGACTGTCCACTCTCTATGCAGCAGAGGTTGACTTTGAACTTGCGGTCTTCTGTTTTTACTGCCGCTGGCACTCTGGTATCACAAGCGTGTGCCCCTACTCCTGACTTACGGGTTTCTAATTTTTGGTTCTGAATTTAGCATCCGAATTCTGATTTCCCGGATCTGGGTCGATGGCGTATGAGCAAAGCACTTGGCTGCACATGCGTGACACTGGAGCTTGGATCTCCAGGAACCATGTAACTGCTGGGTGGGTGTGGCGGCCCAGCGCTCTGCAGGCAGGCAGGGCATCCGCAGAGCAAGCTGGCCAGCAAGACTAGCCGTGTTAACAAGTTCTGGGTTCAACTGAGAGACCCTGCCCTAATGATTAAGGAGGAGAGTGATAGTGGGGAACTTGAGTGTCAAACACACACTCATACACACACATACACTCACAAGTTCAAACATACATACACGCACATCCCAGCCCCCACTCACCTACAAGCACATGAGGAAAAAAACTGAATTCCAGGGTAGTGGCAAGAACAAAACCATGTTACAGGTTTTCTTCAAATCCTGGGGAGGATCTGGTTATCACTTTTTAGTGAATTTATTTGCACATTACTCCCCCCCCCCCAATTTTTAAACGCTATCTTCCTTATGGAGAATAAATATTTTAAATCAATAGCTATGGAAAATCAATCACTGATGTGAGAATGAACATTTGTTAGCGACAGTACAGAAACGATAGCTTGTCAGTTTGCTACGTATTGTGTACTTTTATTAATTATTTATTTGGTTTCTAAACATGAGCAGATGGTAAAATAGCACAGAATCTGCACATGTAAAGTGGCTGGGGAGCAGGAAATCAGTGGAGATACTCCTGCTGGGGAAAGCACCGTCCAGTGTGTGGCTCGGAACAATCGGAACTTCGATCACAGGGCAGCATTCAGTTGTTTAGAACGGTATCGACGAGCAACCGTGAACAGGCCAGAGGCTTGTGGGCTGCACACGGTAAGGCGCTTGTGGTAAAAGTCTCTGAAACTCTGGTGTTTGGACTTGAAACCACGGAAGCCTTGGGCAGGCAGGTGCTTTATATAGCCTGGGATGGCTCTGTTGCCAAGCGTCTCCTTCACATCTGTTTCTTCGTTTCCATTCTCGGTGCTACCATCGGATTCCAGAGCCATCTGCTTTCTCCCACAGTCCGTGCATCATCTTTTTAATTACCCTCTCTTCCTCGGAGCACCCCCTTTCTGACTCCTTTGCACAGAGCTCTGGATTAATCTTCATAGAGTTCTAATTGTTCTCCGGACCCCTGAAATGAAGTCCAATCTCCTCTGCTAAGCAGGCAAAACCCTCCATGAATTCCAGCTTCAGTCCCTGTCTGGCCTGGGTGGTTTATGTCCTCTGAGGCCTGAGAGCAGAGACATCTATTTGCCTCCATGAAAACAAACAGCATTCTCCTGGCTCGGGCCACCCCTTCCCCTCTCCTGCATGCATCTGCTATTGCTGGACTTTTTTCCCTCCCCTTGATCCGTTGTCCTTTGCTAAGGTGGTTTCCTGGGAGCTCCACACCCGGTTGAATCCCACATGGGAGACAGCCATGAACAAGGCTCTATGGCTAAGCATGTGACCTGAGCAAACCCTCACAACACCGGAGGAGATGGCATCTGTAGGAACCGGTTAAGTGGCCAGGGACCCTGTCCCCAAAGTCACACTGCCACTCCGTGGGGGTGTCCTCTCATGCTGCAGTGACCACTGAGGATGAGGTACAGATTCTGCTCTCTCCGCCCCTTCCTCTCCCTCCCCGCCCTGCTCTGTTTTGAAACAGGGTCTTATATGGCTCACACTTACCTCAGCCTTGCTATGAACACTATGTAGCCAAAGATAACCTTAAATGTCTTATCCCCCTGCCTCTACCTCCCGATGCTGGGATTTCAAGGCATACTCCACCATGTCCAGTTCAATGTGGTCCTGGGGATTGAAGCCAGGGTCTCACAGATGCCAGGCAAGCACTCTGCCAGCTGACAGCCATCCACAGCCCTCTTTTGCTTCCACCAGGAGTGCTACTACACTCCATCTGATTAAAAGCGCTTGGTGGCACCGGGCCTCAGAGCTGGACTTTTACCACCCAAGACACTCATGACCTTGAAGCTTTGTGGTATCAAAGCTACCCTGCCCTTCAGAGCCCTCCGACTGTCATAAACCTGTGAGGTCTGCTGGTAGAATGTCACACTCTTGGAGTTACACTCTGATCTCAGGCCGCCCAGACGGTCCCTCTGATTAGCTGTCTCTCCAGATGCTTTCAGAAACTTCAGTGAAGACAGAGCTCCCACTTTTAACTCTTCCCTGTCTTCTTCTCAGATACTTAAACACAGGCCTGGAGATCTAATGAAACAGTAGCCGAGAAATGGGTTCAGATTCCTCCCTCCTCTCGCTAGGGATCTAGGATGGAAGAGAGAAGTAGTTTCCATTGAACGCAGTTTTGATTCATTAGTGTATATGTCCTCCTTTTTAAGTGAGAAAATCCAGTTCATAAATCAGGCACGGAGGCACACACCTGTTGTGTTTACCAGTTTTATGTCAGCTAGACACAGCATTTGAAGAAGAGAGCTTCAATTGAGAAATTCCCTCCATAACAACGGGCTGTCAGTAAGCCTGTATGGTATTTTCTTAATTAGTAATTGTTGGGGGAGGGCCAAGCCCATTGTGGGTGGGGTTTCCCCTGGGGTTGATGGTCCTGGGTTCTATAGGGAAGCACACTGGCTGGGTGATGGTGGTGTACACCTTTAATCTCAGCACTTGGCAGGCAGAGATGGTAGATTTCTATGAGTTTATGGCCAACCTGGTCTACAGAGCAAATTCTAGGACAGTCAAGGTTATACAGAGAAACTCTGTCTTGAAAAACCAAAAAGAGCCGGGCCGTGGTGGTGCACGTCTTTAATCCCAGCACTCGGGAGGCAGAGGCAGGCGGATCTCTGTGAGTGGGAGGCCAGCATGGTCTACAGAATGAGTGCCAGGACAGGCTCCAAAGCTACAGAGAAACCCTGTCTCAAAAAACAAAACCAACCAAACAAACAAACAAAAAAAAAGAGAAAAAAAACAAACAAGCAGGTTGAACAGAGAGAACGGTGAGGAGCAAGTAGTGCTTGCTCCTTCATGAGCAAGAGAAGCAGTGCACCTTCATGGCTCCTTCAGCTCCGCCTCCAAGCTCCTGGAGGTCCCTAACCCTGTCCGGACTTTCTTTAATGATGAGCTGTGGTGTGGAAGTGGAAGCCAAATAAGCCCTCTCCTACCCAAGTTGCTTTTGCTCATGGTGCTTCATCACAGCAATGGAAATCCTAAGGAACCTGCCGATAATCCCAGCACTGGTGGATTATAAATTCCAGGTTGTCTTGGCTATATAGCAAGTTTGGGGCCAGCCTGGGATGCATGAGATCCTGTCTCCAAAAAAAAATAATAAATAAATAAAGTATCTGGCTTCCTTCCTAGGAAGGAACACGTGAGCACTGTGAAGGGTGTTTCCTCATTTGCTGGATTTTTGTGATACTCTCAGGGAGGACTTTGGATTGTCTTGACCCCTTTCCATAAACTGGCTTTCGAAAGAATATATTACATACAGACATTGTTGCAATAACTGAAGTGATATGGACTTATGAAAGTAAAACTAGAAGTCTACAAGAGCGGGGGAACTTCCAAAGAAGCTCTTGTTTCCTCTTAACAGAAACAGACTGTAGCTGGGCCCTCTTCTCAGAGCCTGCCTTGACCACAGGTGTGAAAACTGGAGATATGGCTGCTACTTGGGGACCAGAAGTGAACTGTCCACTAATGGTGGCAGAGCAGGCAAAGCCAGTGTCCTTGATGTCACCTTAGAGAAGGGAGCCAGCGGCAACCCTAGTTATCTCCAGGTATGTTTTGTATACATTAAGTATTTAACATATTTATATTTATGTGTTATTACATAGCCCAGGCTGACCTTAAATTCAATATGTAGTTCAGATTAGCCTCAAACTCCCAGCAATGCCTGACTTAGATAGTTGTGTGTGTGTGTATGTATGTATATATATATGTATATATATATATACATACATATATATATATATAGAGAGAGAGAGTTATTTTTTGATTGGTTACTTGGTTGTTTTTATTTTGGCTTTGGTTTTATGAGACAGGGTTTCTCTGTGTACTTTTGGTGTCTGTACTGGAACTAGCTCTTGTAGACCAGGCTGGCCTCGAATTCACAGAGATCCACCAAAGATCCGCCAGAGATCCGCCTTCCTCTGCCTCCTGAGTGCTGGGATTAAAGGCAAGCACCACCACTGTCCAGCAGTTACTTGGTTTTTGAAGACAGAGTTCCTCTGTGTAGCCCTGGCTGTTCTGGAATTCAATCTGCAGACAAGGCTGGCCTTGGACTCAAAGTATCTGCTTGCCCCTGCCTGAGTGCTGAGGTTAAAGGTGTGTGCTGCCAGGTCCCGTTAATAGTCCTCCTACAGGTAGAAGTTGTAAAATAAAAACAGCTCAGCAGTGCCTAGAAGTTACCAACAACATCAGCCTTAGAACTTAGTCCTGCAATCAGAAATTCAGAGGGGGGAGAGCAAGAAGTTGGGCTTAAGGGAGCCGATCAGGTGGTTCTGGCACACAAGTTTGAGAACTGGCTTAAAATCAATAGCTATAGTTCGTATATTGAAGATTCCTCCAAAGGTTATGTGCAAAGGTCCCCATGGGAAAGATGTGGTCCCCGTGGGAAAGATGTGGTCCCTGTGGTAGTGGTCCCTGAGAAGGAGCCCTGTGGGAAGTTTTTAGGTCGCTGGGAGACATAGTCTCTTTCCTCTCTTTCTCTCTCTCCCCCCGCCCTCTCCCCTCCCCCCCCCCCCCCCGGTCTGGTACTTGTATACTTCCTGGCTGTGAGGCTTGCTCAAGGCCCACAGCAATGTGCCAACTTGATCTTGGACTAGAATCTCCAAAACCATGATCTGAAACAAACCTCCTCATGAGATCCAGGTTGTCTGCATCCAGTATCTCATGTAAGAGTGACAGTAAGCTCACCACTACACCCATGTTTCTGAAACTTTGCTAGGCAGAGGCATCCTGGGGAGCTCGTGTTAGAATCCGGCTCAGTATGTGTACTGAAGAAGCGTGGTTATGTTGGGATTGGACCCCTCGCTGAGAAATGCCTTCAACTGCAGTGCACTGTCTTGCACAAGATCATGTCCTTCCTGGCTTACAATGAAGACCTGGTCACTAATAATAAACGTTGCTTCTAAGAGGTTGTGGTGTAATCGCTAAGATTTCTGACAGCAGAAGGCTGAGAGGGTAGCTCAGGTGTTAAGAGAGCTTCGCCTGGCATGTGCCGGGTTTGATTCTGAGTGCTTGGATGAACCCAGAGTAGGTGAACTGGAGAGGCACTTAGAGTTTCAAGGGAAATTACATTTCTATAACAATTTGGGATTTGAATGGCTGCTTTCTCTGGCTTTCTTTTATATTTAATTTAATTTTTTAATTGTGTGCGTGTGCGGTGTCCACAGGAGTGCCAATGCCTGCAGAGGCCAGAGGTGTTGAAATCCCTGGAGGAGAAGTCATACGCAGTTGTGAGCTGCCTGACATAGATGCTGGGAACTGAGCCTGGGCCTTCAGAAGAGCAGGAAGTGCTCTTAGCCACTGAGCCTGCTGCACAGCCCCTCCGTCTGGCTTTTGGTGCCATTGAAAAAGGAGAACTAACAATCATTAGTCACCTAAACAAGGTGAAGCAGCAAATACAGACACTCCCTCGCCTGCAGCGGGCCAGAAGGCCTAGGAGCAGGACCTCATTCTCACACAGCGGATTTCCAAAGAAGGCCGCTCTCTAGCCAGTCAGCTCTGCTACACCAAGTTAGGACTCTGACCAGGCTAGGGACATCTGGATCACTGAACTCACAGTCCCCTGGGTCAATGCCCTTAAAGAAGGAGGCCACCCCTGTAAGCGTCAGCCATCTGTCCTTTCCTGAGGAGGGCTCTGCCTTGCTGGACAGTTCTTACTGTCTGTAAGACATCTCTTCTTGGGCTGCAAGATCAATAGCCAGGGTCAAGGCACGTGATATCCCAGGTGTCTCCACTGGACCTACTATGGGAGAAAGGTGCTAGAACCAAAGAGACTGGTGGACTTTTCTAGAGTGTTCCAGAAAGAGGCAGTTGGAACAATCGGGACTTCATTCCTCAGTAAATGAGAGGGTGGGGCCTCACAAAGTAAGTTTCACAGCTGTTTGGAGGAGGAAGAGGGGATGGAATTGAGGGGAAGAGAAAACAGGTAGGCGAGGGTTTAGGGAAGAAGAGATTCCATTTGGAAATTGTCATAGCGGCCTAGAGATAGAAGAGCAAACTGATACAATGTTCATAGGGGTGGATCTGTTCGTCTTCATACGCTTTTTCTTCACTTTGTGTGTGTGTGTGTGTGTGTGTGTGTGTGTGTGTGTTGGGGGGGTGGTACATAGGCACATGTGGGTATGTGTGCACAGGAGCCCATGGAAGCCAGAGGGGGACATTTACCACTCACCCTTGAGAACAAGTCTGTTTCTCATTGAACATGAAGTGAGGCTGGCAACCAGTAAGCCAGAGGCCAGCGGTCCTTTCTCTTCCCTACAGTGTTGGAGTCAAAGATTCACAAGTGGCTGCAGTTCGCTTCCTTCCCAGTGTGGAGTCTGAACTCAGGTCCTCCTGCTTGCTCTCGCACACTGAGCCATCTCACCAAGACCTAACGTTAAACAAGAAGAAAGAAAGAAAAAAGTCCGATAATGGTGGCTCACGCCTTTAATGCTAGCACTTGGGAGGCAGAGGCAGGAGGATCTCTGAGTTCCTTGCCAGCCTGGTCTATGGAGCTAGTTCCAGGACAGTCTGGGCTACACAGAGAAACCCCCGTCTCAAAAAACAAAAACAAAACAAACAAACAAAACCAAAGGAATAACGACAAAGAAGTTGTGAAGAGACACACGACAGATGAGAGGCGGACAAGGAGGCTCCGTGGATAAAGCCCTTCGACTCTAAGCCCGATGAACTCAGCTCAGCCCTCAGGACCCCTGTGATAGGAGGTGAACACTGACAGACTGTCCTCTGACCTGCACAGACGAGCACAAAATGAGTAACGATAAATAAATGTAATAAAAAAATGCTAGCAACACTGCAAATTTAAAAAATAAAATATTTTGCAAAACAGTATGTTCTTTCTCCTAATTTTGCCATGATTTAGTTGGACTGCAACACCCCGTGATCCTCCATAGAGCATCTACGTGTCCAAGAACAGGAAGTTGCTCACTCCTGCTGTCTGCCCCTCCACGGCCATCACCACCGACCCTGTGTAAGAAACCATCCACATGGCGGGTGAGTAGCAAGCACAACGCGGCCATAATCCTCATGCTTACTCTGCTATATACAAAGAGAATCTGCTTTGATATTACACGTGCAATTTAAAGTATCACTGGCAAAGCTAAGCCCTAATGCTCACTTTACACTAACCTTTACCCTTTGTCGCTTAAGCATCTTTCTGGCTGTCTTATCAGCCTATAATGGAGCAGTCATTTCCAACTCATCTCGCCTACTGTCTCAACTGTACGTCTAAGATTCCCGTGGAGACTATAGGATAGTCTTCATCACAATTTTATTTTTCTTTTTGTTTTTTTGAGACAGGGTTTCTCTGTATAGCTTTGGAGCCTGCCCTGGAACTCCCTCTGTAGATCAGGCTGGTCTTGAACTCAGAGCTCCACCTGCCTCTGTTTCTCAAGTGCTGGGATTAAAGGTGTGCATCACCACCGCCCGGCTCTTCATCATACTTTGTTTCTGTTCTGACCTGCGTGGGGTGTTCTGCCTCAGGTGGTAGCTGCTCTCCTTATGTTAAGACAGTGTCTCATTTTTGTAGTCCAGGCTGGCCTCGAACGCACCAACTTCCTGTCTCAGCCTCCCAAGTGTTGGGACTGTAAACGGCCATCACACAGAGCTTAATTTCTGCTTCCTATTCTTTCTTCCCTTCCTCACATCTGATGGGGTAGCTAGCTTCTTCTGTTATCTCCTGGTCTCACCGCACAGGAGTGCACAGGAGACAGCTTCCGAGTACAGACAGACACTGGGAGCGGCATCCACCTATCCCGGACTCCGATCAAGTCAATACACTGGTGATCAGTACCTGCCTTTCAGACTCAAGCCATGAAGCCCCATTTTACCAGAGATGTTTCAAATGGCCCGGCATCTCTGGCAGAATAAATGCTATCTATAAACCAAAATCCAATGTTTAAGCTCCAAATAGGATTTCAAAATGAAATTGTATGTTATAGCTTTAAAAATCACAATTCACTGAAAAGGGAGCAAAAGGGGACAAGCTGAGGTTTAGATTTGATAAAAGGAAGAACATTAAAAAATATAGATCATGTGCTGGACAGGTTATTGGAGATTGCCTTCCTCGAAAAATCTTTAAAAATAGAATCCACAGGGCTGGGGCTGTAGCTCAGCTGTGGGAGCTGCCTGTGCAAGGACCTGGTTTGATCCCCAGTGCCGGGGGAAAGCGAATGGGATGTGGTCATTCATCTTGAATGGTTTTGCTACAGACCAGCTTGGAAGCAATAGGAGAAGCCAGTACACTTCTGGAGCCCCTCTGCTGTCCCTTGCCTCTCCCACTGCCTGCATCCCAAGGCATCAGGGGTGTCAGAGCTGGGTGGGGAGCCATGACAGTGACATGTGGGGTTATTTTGCCCCAGGAATGGAGAAAAATGACCGTTGCACTCTGTCAAACCAACTGAGCAGTTCATGAGAGCAGGTGACATAAGACAATCCTTTGGTTCTTTCTAGAATCCTGATGAATCAGTCGACTTGTTCTTGAAAAAAACTAAGATAATTAACCCCACCCCTAAAGGAGACTGTGATTCCGATCTGAGGATGATTCTGACCAGAGACAGCAAAGATTTATCTTTCTTTTTCATCCTATGGTGTGTCCAACTCATAGTCAAAGTCTGAAACATAGCAGTTTCCAGGAGTGAACCACCTTGGGGATCTATAGGAGGCACATCCTGGCACAAATGTCACGGTTTACACCAGTATTGCAGAAACGGACCTGGTTCCACTCCTCCCCAGTTCGATTTCTTCATTAAAAAAGTATTTATTTTAGTGCTTGCTTTGGCAGCATGTATCCTAAAATTGGAGTGATACAGAGATTAGCATGGCCCCGCACAAGGATGACATGCAAATTCGTAAAGTGTTCTATATTTTTATAGATGGAAGTAGCAACAATTAATGTAAAAAGAGGCTATGAGTTTAGTAGACAGCAAGGAGGGGTATATGGGAGGGCTTGGAGGGAGGAAAGGGAGTGGGAAATGATGTAAGTAGATTTCAGTCTCAAAAAATAAAAGACTAAAATAGAGTTCTCTCTCTCTCTCTCTCTCTCTGTGTGTGTGTGTGTGTGTGTGTGTGTGTGTGTGTAGTACGTGTGGGTGCAGTCACCCACTAAGGCCACAAGGGGGCACTGGATCTCTTGGAGTTGGAGTTAACAGGCATTGCGATCCTCCTGTTGTAGGTGCCAGCACCTGAACTCTGGTTCTCTGATGGAGCAGTGAACACTCTTGACTGCTAAGACATCATTACAGCCTCTCAACTTTTTTAATAAAAATATATTTTAAAAATTTCTGTGTGTGTGTGTGTGTGTGTGTGCGCACACACACATGTGTACTCACTTGTGTGAGTATGGACACGTGTGTGCGACAGCATATTTCTGGAGACCAGAGACAACCCAGGATGCTAGTCCCCAGTTTCCACCTTGTCTGAGATGGGGTCCCTTTGCTGTTGTTCTACTGCATACGCCAAGCTACCTGTCCCTCAGATTTCCAGGGGCTCTCTGGTTTCCACATCCCACCTGTAGAAGCCCTAAGATTATAGATACTTGTTGCTACGGCATCTGACTATCACTAATGTTCTACGGAGTCACGCTCAGAGCTCACGCTTTCTTAACAAGCATGTTTATGCACTGAACCATCTACCTGGCCCTGTTTGTTTGTTTGTTTTTAAGAATAATTTAATTTTATGTGCCTTGGTGTGAGGGTATTAGATTCCCTGGAACTTAGTTACAGACAGGTGTGAGCTGTCATGTGGGTGCTGGGAATGTTTGAACCCGGGTCCTTGGGAAAGGCAGCCTGTGCTCTTAACTGCTGAGCCATCTCTCCAGCCCCCTGTTTATTCAATTTTTGTGTGTGTGTGCCATCTAGTCACTTTAGAATTCCCATGGCTTTTTCTTCTGACACCTAGGGACTGATGCTACAGTGTCAGAGTGAGGTAGACAGTGCCCCACTCTTTCTACCGGTCCTCATTGGCATCTCCTGATTCCTCGTCATTGTTCAGATAGTGTTGTCTGCGTTTTCAGACTGGAGTGTCCTGTTACAGCCTCTTTTTACCTTAATGTTCTACACTTCCTGAGCTGGACAGAACCAGGTAGGGTGCCCAAGTCCCTTCCCTCAGTCTGAGTTACTCGGAGGTGTTTGGAAAGCCTTTTATTTCTCCACATAACACACCAGCGCCAAGAGGATGCTTCAGGGCTACCTCTATTCTCCCTGTGGTCTCCCAACCTAGGTAGTCTGGGTAAGAAGCTTGGGTTCTTGAACCCCCAGGGGCTCTCTTTGGGTCTGCAACACGGATCTCTCTACTCTTAGATTTCTCGTAGTTTTGACGACTACTGTCTAAGCTTCTTAGCTCGTGGTTCTTCATTCCTCTGGTCCAAGGACACATTATCCAGCTCAGGGGACACATAGATCTTGCAAAAAGATCATGCTCTGAGAGTGCCAGTGTTCTGATTTCTTGTATCCCAAAAGCCTTTCTCTGCTATAGCAACCATTGTCCAGGTGCTGAGTCTCATTGAGAGTACAGCTTTTTGTGAGGGTACAAAGGATGTACCAGGAATGACAAACATACTTGGAACCTAGCACTTCTATACTGAGGCCAAAGGAATCCAGTTGAGAGGCAATGAGAACAGGGAAATGTCAAAATCAGCAAGAGGTGGAGCCTTCTGGGGCACAGGAAGCCTTAGCCCCTTCCCCAGGTTCAGGGCAATTTTTCTCTCTCTCTCTCTCTCTCTCTCTCTCTCTCTCTCTCTCTCCCTTCCTTTCTCCCTTTTTTCTTTCCTTTCTTTCCTTCTTCCTTCCTTCCCTTCCTTCTTTCTTTTCTTTTTTGAGACAGGGTCTCATTATGTAGCTCTGGCTGTCCTGGAACTCACTAGGAAACCAGGCTGCACTTTATTTTCTTTTTAATAAGTAACTTTTATTTTTCTAAAGAATTTGAAATTAAGGCAATGAAGCAAATGGTGCCACTTGGGACAAAAGTACACCTTGCACACTTAGGTCAGACTTAGTTCACATAGATTAAAGCCTCTAAATTGTATTTAGCACAGTTCATATGTTTTATGTTAAAAATAGTGAATTCTTAGCTGGGCATGGTGGCACAGGCTTTTAATTCCAGCAATCGTGAGGCAGAGACCAGCCTGGACTAGAGAGTGAGTTCCAGGATAGCCGGGCTATATAGAGAGATCCTGTCTCCTCACCCCAACCCCCATGCCACAAAAAAAAAAAGTGAATTCTAACTCATTCTAATTCCACTTTCTATTTCTACGAACGTAACTGGCCTCCAGTTTTCACTACAGCTAAATGGACGACCTTATTTACAGGTTATTCTGAGCAAATTAGACTTTTTTCCAAAGCATCAAAACCATCAAGAGATCTAACCCATATACCAGTTTAAAATTATAACCTCAAACAATTGCTATGTCTGAAGCTTCATGGTTCTCCCGCTGGATTTTATTTTATTTTAATTTTTTTATGTGACATATTGGGATGGTTTTCTTTCCAGTTTCACGTCTTCCTGTGCTCGTGGATGGGTGTCTTCCTCAGGGTCAGGCAGCTGTGGTTCTGTCCCTGCAAACCCTTCAGGGGATCGGCAGAGCCGCTCCTCGGCTGTCTGCGGAGGAGGCTTTCAGTGGGAGAGCCATGGCTTCCCACTTAGCCTGAGATTGGAAAACTGGGAAGAAAACGCAGAAATAAATGAATCTCCCCTACCTTGGAAAGTAGTTCTTTAACAGATTGTGTTAGCGCTTGGAGTCACTGCTTTAACTACTAAAATTGATTAAATTAGCAGTTCTGTGTTTTGCCAAGATTTTTTTATAGGCTCTTGCCTTCGTTCTCAACAAATTAAAACCTGGCTCCCAGGGGCGTGTAGACTGCAGACATCTCCTCCTGTCGCTGGGTGCTGATGGAGCAAGCTTTTGACAGTTTTTGAAAAGAGAGATTTAATTCTTGATTACCACTCCTCGTGTGTCTTGTACCAGGACTGCAGTATGGGTGTGTGGGAGGAAAACTGATATAACACGGAAAAGTTTAATAAATATTTGTAATATGGAATCTCTACATCATTGCCTCAGGGAAGCTGAGTGTACCGAATGGAGAGCTAGATGTCTGTAATGTGCTAATGAATTAAATAAACATATTTTATAAGTAGTGAACCCAGTGCAAACTGGAAGAAAATACAACTCTAAAATTAGTTTATTTATCTTGTGTGTGCGTGTGCACGCATTTCACAACACATGCATGGAGGTAGATGATCACATCTCTTCCGTGGAGGGTCCTGGGCATTGAACCTGAATTGTCAGTCTTGGTGGCAAGCACCTTCACTGGCTGAGCTGTCTCACCAAGCATGAGGCATTTTTTTTTTTTTGAGACTAAGTCTCATTGTGCAGCCCTACTGGCCTTGAATTTAAAGCAATTCTCCTGCCTCCACATCCCGAGTGCTGGGGGTAAAGGTGTGTACACTACAACACCTGGTTCCCAAAATGTCTCAGATTCAGGTTTATTTTGTCATAAAGTCTAACTGCAAGCAATCATATTCACTGTTCAAAATCTAAAATCAAAATCTAACTCTAAAATCTAGAGAAAATGTAATATTCAACTTACTAAGGCGAAAGGAACTGGCAGAATGACGAGGCTTGCGGAATAACACAGTCCCAAATTTCAGCTCCAATGAGAGGCGCATTTTCACTAAACCCTGAACTCACATCAGCTCCCAAAGTATGCGCCTCTTCCTCGTGTTATAATTAGAAGTGAAAATAGGGCACAACCATATATACTCACTATATGTATATTTTTAGAATGATCCCAGTGCTGTTAAAAAGTGTATAAATAAAGCCCCACAGGGGATGCGGTGAGATATCTTTTTTGGATGATATCTGTAAACGTGATCTTTAAGATTTCTTATTTTTGACAGTTTAAAGCTTTTCTGTCACGAATGCCCATGTCTTTTACTTAGTGAGATGAATTGGAAACTCTGCCCTGAAGAGGAGGTCTGTACTGGCCCCGCATTTGGTAAGCATTGTCTCGAGGCTATGCTGATTGGAAGGTGGCGTGAGCGAGAACGAGAGAACGAAGCACTTGCCACTCAATGCGCTCCACGTGGTGCGATCAGGAAGCCGGTATCAGAGCGAGGATCAAACACGCTTTGGTCTTCAAAGTAGTCCAGACCCCGAAAAGTCATAATTTCTGTTAACCTTCCTCCCTCTGTGACTAGATTGCTTTGCCTTTGAAGTGCCCACTGCAAAGGCCCAGGTGTGGGACCGCTCAGATCTTCTGAGGCTGACAAGCGCTTCCCTTCGCGGAGTGACTTTACAGACTGATTTCAATGCGGGACTGTCAGGGCCGCCGGGGGCAGGAAAATGTAAGGTGCTAAAATAAGATAGAACAATCCGGCTAGAAGGCCGTGGAGCCGCTCCTTGATTGCTGAGGTCTCTGCAAGATTTTTCTCTATGGACAGGGTGAATCCTGCTGATGAGGAAGGAGATGGAAATCAGGGCAGCCGATGAAGAAAGAGGATCAGCGATTGACTGAACGCACCGGTCACAGTTTCCTGGAGTACTTTGTGGGTACATCCCCAGTCAGTCCTCATCTTCTGCTTTTGATGCGGCTGTTGGTTTCGTCAAAACGTTTTGTCCAAGACTCTTTTTAAAAGGCTGTGAATTTGCCTGACTTACCTTCATATTGGAATAAAAGAGAAAACTGTCAGGCGGGAAATCATAAATCCTGGAGGCCACTGCCAAGGCAAGCAGATTCTGGGATTAGCAACTTTAAAGTGGGTCTTGGTGTGTTTATTAGCACTTTGAGCCTCATTCTGGCTCAGCTCTGCACCATTAGACATACTCCAGCCAGGAGTGATGTGTGCAATCCCAGTTCAGGCTTAAGCAGGAGG